GACACTCACTCTCTAGTGATTTCATCTTTCCCTTAAATTACTCTAACAGCTTTCTCTAGCCCTCAACCTTTAGATTCTACAACAGTCAGGGGGAGCCTTTTAAAACAAATGTGAGATTCTGTCATTCTCTGCTCTAAGCCTCCAATGGTTTCTAATTTTTCCCAAGTAGAAGCCTAAGTCCTCTTTTTCTTTTTTTTTTTTTTAATCATTGGGGTGGTACTAGGGATTGAATCCAGGCCTGCTCTACCAGAGCTATACTTCTAGCCCTTGTTATTTTGAGAAAGAGCCTCATTAAGTTGCCAAGACTGATTTCAAACCATCCTTCTATCTCACCCTCCAGAGTTACTGGGATTACAGGTATGTGCCCCTGTGCCCAGCCTGAAATCCAAGTCCTATTAATGGCCTAAACCATCTTTATCCTCTGTGCCCCTTCTCCCAGATCTTCAAACCATCTCCCAACCACTCTATTCCAGATATCCTGGTCTCCCCAAAGCTATCAAACATGACAAAACCAAGTCCTTTTGCACCTGATTTCCAGCACCCCCTAACCCTGACCTCTTTCCTTTTCCACCAACTGCAGCCTACTCCCCCAAGTGCTCTCCATCCCAGGCCCAAAGCTTCAGGACCCCTGGCTTCTTCTTTCTCATATCGAATACTCACGCAGGCTACACTAAAAAAGCACACTCCCAACCTGTTCTCTCGGCCTCTCCTGCTGACACTCTACTGCAAATTCTGTTTGCAAATCCGTTGTAACAGACATCATGGGCTCACTCCTTTACTTCCTGGGGGTCTATTCAAAGGGTACCTGCTCATTAAATGCTCTTAATTGTGCTCTTTAAAATAGCAACGCTATGCCAGAAACACTACCCCCCTTATCCTGCTTAACTGAAATTCTTCTCCACAAAACTTAGCACCTTATGACAAACTACACAGGTATCAATTTCTTCTTATTCCTTTCCCCACTGGCATATAAGTTCACAGGGCCAGAGATGCTCAACATTTATGGGTTGAGGGAGGT